CAGCGCCGCGGAGACCCCCACAAGGGCCGCCCAGCTGGCTCCGCTCATGGCCGCTGCGGCTGCAACCCGGGCCTGTCCCCTGTGCGCCCTTCCCCGGCCAGCCCCGGGCCGCGCGAGAAGCTCCGCCTCGCTGGGGGTAGGGTGGGGGATGTGGAGAGGCCGAGGGAGGCCCTGTTTGTTCGCCCCCGTCTCCCCCACAATGATGGCTGAATTAATCCGTCAGGTTATTCATTATCCACAGAGCTGGCTGAGCCACTAAGCGCTTCTCTCAGCCCTCGGCTCGTGGTGCCTGCCCGCTGGGATCGCTAGGGTTAAATTTTCCTCAGACTATTTGGCTCCCAGTAAGGAGAGGTGGGGTGGGGAAAGAAGTCTCCTTTCCTGCGGGGGTCGTTCCTGTCTGGGATAGTTATATATTGACCTGATAAACGATCCCCTTCACCTCCCCTCGAGTTGCCAAGGGGAACATGCAAAGAAGGAGTGACATATTTACAACCTAGGTACAAGAACATGCAAAGAAGGAGTTATGTGCTAGTTACATATTTACACGATAAACAGTCGGCTTAGCTTGGCACCAGTTGCCAAGGGGTAGGTGCAAAGAAGGGGTTACATTACATATTTACAGGCTAGTTACAGCGACGTAGCCATGTTGGTCTAAGGACACAGGCAGACAAGGTTCTTTGGGTCAATCCAATATCTTTTATTAGGCCAACTCAAATAGTTGGAAAAGTTCTTCTTAGCAAGCTTTCAGGTTTAAATACCCTTCCTCAGGCAGAGGAAGCATCTGCAGTTGGTGTGTGCTCTTTTTCTGTTTCAAATGGAAAAGAGCACAGCCTGACTGCAGACACTTCCTCTGCCTGAGGAAGGGTATTTAAACCTGAAAGCTTGGAAAAAAGAATTTTTTCAACAATGTGAGTTGCTCTAATAAAAAATACATCAGATTTGCCCAAAGAACCTTGTCTACATGCTAGTGACACATTTACATGATAAAAGATCACCTTTGCACTTACATGCAAAAAAAGGAGCACATGGACAAAACATGTATTCGGTCAGGCTAGCAGACATCAGCCTATTTCTTTCTCACTGAGGTTCACTGAAGTGTTTAATTTTTTGATGTATAAATTGCCTATGACAAATCTCTATACTGAGCTGATACACAGGGGCAACGTGAAGTGAAGGCAAAATATGCCATCTCTTAGGAGCACTGTGCAA